ATTCTATGACAATTAGATTACGGAACATCTGGGGTCGTTGACCACCGAGTATACGATGGTTTTCCAAAAGAGAATTAGTGGGTTACAATTTACATAAATGGGTTTGTGGGGACAGATATCTCAAATAAAGGGTTTTCATTTGCTGGTGATGCAAAATGACTTTTCTTACACTCAAAGCGTCTCTATTATTCTGAATAGCGTAGCAATATTATAGTTTCCTTTATGTTAGGAGTTGGATGGCTCATCTCAACCTACTCCTAATTTACTTGTGAATTAAACAACTTTGTTATAGCGCATGATTATTCATGAGTTTCTAACATAAATCAGGTGGAGTTTAAGGGAGGGTGGACTCATAATTTTCAACACAAAAGCTGCTCTTTCTTTATTTTATTTTTTTCTTTTCTGAAAGCTCTACCCAGAATGGTAGCTGTTTCTTTTTTTAGTTAAGTTAGTAATTAGTTCACACATAACTATCAATCAGGTTTCTTCTTTTCCGTTTTGGATCTTGATATCTTGTAGCCCACGCTCGTTCAACTTCTAATTAACATCGAATTTTAAATATGTAAACTAATGAGAGGATGTGAGCTTGTGTGTGTCTGAATAACATTTTTCATAAACTCTTTAGTTTGAATGCTTAAATTGAATTGTACAAAGCGCTTTAATTATACTTAACTCAGGAATTTGATTATATTTTTATGAAAGCGTATAGTTATTAATATCATTAATTTAAAAAACATAAAGTTCCTTATAAAGATTCATAATTTTTTTTTAATATTCATGATGGAAATACAATAGTTGATTATGTTTTTTTTATCATTTTAAGGTAAGCTTAATTTTTTTAAGGTAAGCTTGAAATTAATTATCACCCCCCTCCCAAAAAGACCCACAAGGTAGCCAGGTTGGCAACTGAGTTCCAAGGGGTTGTATGGTTGGTTCAATACTGGATCATGCAACTTCTTGAAAAATTTTGCGAGACAGAGGATGTGTAATTCTTCTTTAAGAGAGATTAGTCTCATCTTTTCTCCAGTGACATTGCCTAATGCACTGAATTTTGTTCCAATGAAGAGGTAGTCTTTGGGGTCATACTCTGATAATAAGATGACCGAAGGAAGTTGAATAAGGATACATCTAGTTTTATACCCAAAAAAAATTAATTATCATATTCCTTAAAATTTAAAACATAAATTTGTGAAATTCACAATTACCAAAATATCCCACACAAAAAATATTCATAATAATATATGGATGTGAATGCGCAAGCAACCTATTAGGGGCTACAGGTCGACCTACGTTAGGTCAAATCATGCCTAATATATTCCGGAAAAAAAAATAGGTTCATACTTTAGAATAACCCTTTTCAAAGATAGGACATAGATTTATTTTTACAAGGTATGACCTGTAAGTTTACATATGGACCTATATCAAAAATAAATAAAATAATTATTTGAACAATTTTCATTAACAAAATATTAATAAAAATCTTATTTTATTTATTTATTTTTAATTCTTGATAAGTATTGAAAGCTTTAAAATTTATAGACTCCAACATATTAATCGGTCATCCGACAGAGAGACTCAAAATATTTTATATAAACTTAATCTATTATATCAAAGTCTAACCTAATTCAATCGATTTACTTCTCTAAACGTGAACATGATGTAGCAAAGGCCACATATTAAGGTGCCTATATTTGTGAGAAAACCTAGAATAGTATTGTTGAGTCAGCTTAGCTTAGGCCCAGCATAGCAACCAAAGCAGCATATGCTCTAAAATGGAATAATTTGTGCTCATGATGGGTCCCTAGGAGGTTGTCATTTGAGTAATTCCCATCAGAATTTCAATTTCGATAAGTTCCCACGTTGATGTTACTCTTAGAAAGCTACCCCTAGCATGTCCTTTTAATGTTTGGATAACTCTCGCTCAATGATGATATGGAGGCTTAGAAAGTGTTTTGTTTTGTATTTTGTATCTGTGAAAGAAAATAAAGATACGGGATGAGAGGCCATGATCTATGGAAATAAAGGTTTGTTTGACCCTTTTGGTATCCTCAATTTGTTCCATCATCTATTGAATTTGAGATTGAATTATACCAAATTGGTGTTGGGAACTCGGTTCCTCGACTTGGTTCAAAAGTCTTTTCGCGAAAGTCAATTAATAAGATTCTGGATTTTGAATCTCGACAATTTTAACTCGGCCTGAACTTCACCAGGTCGGACGGCGCGGCGGAAAAACAAAAATACAAAGTAGAGAGAGAAAAAGAAGTAGATCTTAACATGAGAAAACCTTCTGCAATGAAAAAGTAAAAACTCACGGGACTTAGTCCAGTTCAAACGTTCACCAGAGTGGTGGTTCACTCAACCTTTCCAACAATGGTGATAATAAAACTTCCCTAAAGATATTTAAGTCAAATTCTCTTTAGAGGTGCTCTCAAATGCAAAGTTCAAAGTTTTACTTACAAATCTCTTATCTCTCAAGTGTCACTCAAGAGTCTCACAAATCATTTAATATTCTAATCTAACATTCACCCACAATTATTGAATATATAAAGGAAGAGAAATCTAAGATTTAAGATTTTTAAAAAACTACTCAATAGACTTGGACTTAACATTAAAGGAGGAGAAAGTCCAACCGGTTAACTTGGTTTAGAGCTACGTAGACCAATAAAACTTGAATCGTTGTCATTTATCGAAAAGGAATATTTGACTTTGGTGAATTTTATTTCTTTTTGCCTAGCCAAATCATTTGCAATTTGAAAAGTTAAAAGGAAAACAGAGAAAAGTTGAATGTCTCACAGGCATCGTGCATATTGGAGCAATGATGGGCTCACATTGAGACTGATATTCCCCCAAATGCAAGTGTATAGATGGCGATCAAATGTTAAAATCTTAGTATCCGTACCTTTTTTTAATATATTCCATATGACAATCAATTATTATTATTATAATTTAAATTTATAACTTCTATATCAGTCTTTATTCGATCCAATCACCAGATTATACCAAAGTAGATTCTCCTTTGACATTAAACTTTTGAGTATCTGAAATATCAAATGCCCACACCTTTAATTAAATATCAATAATCTATGATATTGTATAAAGAAAATTTTCAACTTAAATATTTAAAATTTTCTTTTCAAAATTATTATTATTAAAAATTACTCATTTAAAGATATAAAGATAAATATGACAAAATAATTTCTTCTTATTTTTCAATAACAACTATTTCTAAACGCTTGTCATCATCTCATTGTCTGATTATAATTTATTTCACCAACTTTTTATTATTATTCATTTTTATATTAACAATAAAAAATCCAAATTGGCAGGCACACAATTTATCAGTGAATACGCTAGCGATGATAATAATTATGAAGATGATACAATAAAATACATAGAGCTTAATTTCACAAAAAAAATATATAAATTAATTTAATCTTTAATTTATTTTTTCTGCACTTGCGCCACAATATCTAGTAATTCTTTTGAAAATGATATTTCTAATTTTTTTATAATCATAAATTAGGTAATAAATTGAGGAGAGGTTATAGTTACTATCTTTTTTTCTTACTACTTGTTACTATCAAATTTTAACCGTTGATTTCCGTCAATCTAACGTTTACATTATATTAGAATCAATAATTAATTAATAAATGTGACTCAATAAATTATAACCCTTAAATTGACAGAAATCAACGGTTAAGATTTGATAATAACAAATAATAAGAAAATAAAATAGTAACTATAACCTTTTTCAATAAATTGATAAGTGAAGATATATAATGTGCTCTATGGGGAGCTATGGAAAGTTGCAAACTTGTGCAGCAGTCAAGTCAATGCTCCAACACCCGTCAGCGAATGCATGTATATATGGAATTAATGTTCAATATTGCTCTCGTAATTATTTGATGGGTAAATGTGATGGACTCAACCAACCGTTTTTTTCCTTATTTGAGCAAATATTAAAGCAACTTAATTAGTTCTTTTCATTTTTTAATACTCAAGTGACCCTGCAGCTACCGCATTTCCCACATTTATTGTCTAACTCTAACCCAAATCTGAAAACCAGGATGTCTATTTCTCACAATGAGATGCCATCCTCTTTGCATGTTATGACCCACGGTTGTTATCACTCACCGACCAGTCATGACTCATGAGTTCTATTTGGGTATAACTTTATGTTACTTAAAATAGTGTTAGATAATTTTTGAAGAAAAACAAATCTTCTACTTTTTTTATTTTTTATTCAGGTGGTTACAAGATTTTTTGCCGGTTAACGTCAAACGAGACCATGTAAAGTTGTAAACGAGCAATTACCATTGTCAAAGTAAAAACAATAATTCTTGTTAAAAGATGTTAGTTCAATAGGTATGAATCAAAGTAGTTGTGTTTGCTTATATATGGCTTGGGTTGGATGTTCGCGGCCAGGAATCCTCTCTTGTACTCTATCGAATCAATTCGAAGAAACATTGCAGTATTTTAAAAAGAGCATTCACATATATTCAATGTATAAAGCAAAATTGAAAAGCTCTTCATAAATCAGGCCTAAAAAAAAACATGAAGGTTCTATATAGGATAAATTGAAACGAATGCCATTAATAAGGGATGTAAAATACATTTCAATTTGAACCTTTTTCACAACAAATCCGTAACTTTCTTAAGATATATGGATTAACAAAAAGGAAATGCCTTGTTAGCGACAATCTAAAAGTTAATGGACAGCGACTATTTGAATTCATTAATACAGATTGCTAAAAACAGAAACTTTTATAAAGGAAGAAACCGTACACTAATATTTTCTTCAAAAAGAAAAAAGAAAAATCCATTGACATCAGAACTCAGTATGTATCAATTTCTCCTCAGAAACCAAAATCTATAGCTAGCAACTTCAACAAGCAAGCCAACAAATACAAAGAATATTGCTCCATGTAAACACATTAACCCCAAATTCCAACCTCTACCCAGTAAAAGTATCATGATCCCCATTAAAGCACACAAACTAACTAGGCCATCTCAATAATCCATTCATGCTGTTCCTCATCTCCAGATATGAAAACCCAAGAGTTCACTTGATCTTCAATTAACACCAGTGGCGAAGCTAGCAAGACATTTAAGCCGGTGCCAAAAAATTCAGCTGATGTCAAAATAGCTACTGTTATATAGCCAGTGCCAAAGTACCTGCTGGCACCAATCTGGCTCCGACACTGATTAACACGATCATCGTACAAGAAGAACAAAGAAACTAGAGGAACAAAGGAAAAAATAAATAAATAAATAAATAAATAGATGAATTGATTGATTGATTGATCATCAGTGACAGCGGGGTCGAGATTCTTTGCTAGTGCTGTGACCGAGAGACAAAGTCTTAAAATGTTCAACAGCATTAACCAACTGATGATCCCTGAACCCAATAAGGAATTGGGCCAACCCTTCAAGAAACAAGGCAGCTTGGTAAACAGTGGCAGCACTGATAATATCAACAAGAACGCTTCTCCTCAACCTATTAGCATAAAGAAACACACTCACCAACTCTTCCATGTGACCCTTAACATCAGCACACACAGCCACCTTCGATTCACCTTTCCTATCTCTGCATCGAAACCAATCCCCAACAACACGATCAATAAACGCAGCCTCAGCATGTTTCATTCTGTCCGTTAAGGTTGGCACTATCACCCTCAAACCGCACTCTATCTGATCCATGCGAGTTGTTAACGCCTCTGACGCGTGGCGCCACGCCATCGCCACTTGCCAGGGGCGGTTATCGAGACCCTTTTCAAGAACGGCGTTGTTGGGCAAGTGGTGGTCGGTGTCGTTTTCGTCGTCGGTGGCGGTTTCGTCGAGGAAGGAGCGAGCGAGGTTGATGAAGAGGAAAGGGTGGAGGTCGCCGAGCCAGAGGAGGGGCTTCTCGATGGAGTTGCGCCATTCTTGGGAGAGGAGTTGTGAAGGGTCGGAGTTTGCGGCGGCGTCGAGGGCGTGGTAGAAGGATTGGAAGTGCTGGTGGATCATCTCCACGTGGGTTGAAAGGATGGTGGGGGAGTCGCCGGCGATGGATCGCCGGAGAAGTGGGAGGAGGTTGTTCTTAAGTGCGCTGAACCACTCCGCGTAGTACTCCTTGAAAGGGCGCGAGTGCTTGTGACGGCTGAACAGTGGGGCCATCGCTTTCAGCATCTTCTTCTTCTTTCTTTCTTCTTTTTTCTTCTTGGAATCTTGTTTTGTAGACGAGGGAGGAGCGGAGTTCAACTGTTTTTTATTTTCAAATATATATATATAATATATATATATATATATATATATATATATATATATGAAAAAATGAAAATAAGGGGTGTTCGCGGTCTGCATTGGATCGGTTTTGAAAGGAAAAATTATCCGATCCAATCCCTTCGGTTTGATCATGTAATCATCCACCCGGTTTGGAATTTTTTTTAAATTCGATCCGATCCAATCCAATTTTTTTCGGTTTGGATTGGATCGGTTTTCGGTTTTTTAAAAATCCTAAAATTTGTTTTATGATTATTGTGCAAATAACACCTTTTGTATATATTGACTTTGTAATTTTATTTTTTTTAAATACAAAAATATCAATAAACAAAAATTTAGTTGTTTTTTTGGACAATGAGATATGAAGCTCTATATAGATGAAATTTTATTGATGAGATGTGACTAGATTTTTTCTTGGGTTTAGTTGATGGGTTTTGAGTTTAGAAATTTTTGGTTTATGATTGGGGAAAGACTCAATTAGGTAGAGAAAAATTAATATATTGGTTTGGATTGGATCGGTTTTCATCTACCAATCCGAAAACCGATCCAATCCAATTAAAATTTACGATTTTTGTTCGGTTTTCGATTTTCGGTTTATTCGGTTATCAGTTTTTTGGTTCGGCCACCGCGGTTGAATCGGTTTGGATCGGATGTTGAACACCCCTACTGGACAGTCCAGTGCACTAAGTTCTTCCGCGAGAACATAGTGTAAAAAATATTACAATGGTGTTCTCCCGGGAGAACATAGTTATAATTTTTACTATAATTGTGTTCTCGCGGGAGAACATAGTGCAGTGCACCGATTTTTACATCCGGTCACTGTATACTCACTAAACCCATATATATATATATATGTGTGTGTGTGTGTGTGTGTGTGTGGAAAAATCTATTTCATTCCAAATGAGATAAGTTTTTCATCCTATACACCCTTCGATAATAGCTGTGTCATCTTTTTTTTTTTTTTTTTCAGATGTAGCCCACAAATTTGTTTCTATAACATGATATAATTTATGATTCTCCACATTTAATGTTTTTATCCTTTGTATAGTTACGATTCTCTGCATTTAATGCTTTGAAATATATATATGGCAAGTATTTAATTGCTGCACGTACAGCAGCTGCATGCAGAAATGTAAACCCCATATACATATGGGAAAAGTGTTTGTCATTTTAAGATAGATACAAACACAGAAAATTTGAATTGTAAATTAAAAAAACCACCCACTTTCTCTCTCCCATGATTTCCGTTTTTCTGTGTCTATCTCTCTCCTAAAATGACATAACTTATGTCATTTAAAATGACAAACACCAAACCCTATATATTTATGCAGTTACTGTAGATAAGTTATATGCAGTAAGCCCAATACGACGTCATTTTGGGACAGAAATCATGGAGTTTTTGTAATTTTAATTTATTTTAGGGTTATCATAGTCTTTATATTTATAATTTTTTAAGATTTCAATACCAAAATGACGTTGTTTTGAGAATAAATGCAGATAACCTATCTGTGGTAACTGTAGAAGCATTTTTCCCATATATATATATAGGGCTTATCATTTCTGCAGCCGCCGCAGACAGTGTTATCTGCAGCTGACACAGAAAAGTGGACCCCACATCTTTTCTTAAAAAAAAAAAAAAACTAAGATTAGGTTCCGTATCCTAGGATCCGGTGCCGTATCATGACTTGCTGTAGGTGCAGCTAGGGGTGTAAATGGTTCAGGCCGGCCTACAGGGGCCTACGGCCTAGCCTATGAAAAGCCTAGCCCGGCCCGGCCTTCGAAGTACTTAGAACAGGTAAAGGCTTGTAAGTGAGCCTATTTAAAAACAAGGCCATAGGCCAAATAAAAAAAGCCCGGCCTATTGGCCTATAGGCTGGCCTGTTTCAATTTTTAAATAAAAAAATTATTTATTATATAATATTATTTATATTCTAAAAATTACTAAACGTCTAAACCTAGTTTCTTTTCTTTTGTGTGCGCCGCTCTCAGTCTCACCTCTCTCAGTCTCACCAGTCACCAGTCACCAGTCTCACCTCAGTCTCACCTCACCTCACCGAAGTCCCTCACTGCCGTCCGCCAGTCACTCATCTATTCTCGCCGCTGCCGCCGGTCACTCATATATCAAGGTACTCTCTTTTTTTCTTTGCTGTGATATCCCAATGTGTTTTCTTTGGGTTTGTTATTTTAATCCCATGAAGGCTACACTAAAATCTTCAAAAACACCTCACAATGATGCTCGCCAAGAGCAACCTCACTAGACCATGTAGAATCCGCGAGATTACTCTGAACAAAATTCTTAAATAAAAGAAAATAGGGCCAAAACTCCTTAGTCTTTTTATATCGAAATATTACTGTATCCTTTATAGTGGAATAAAATGCTGCACAAAGTTTCTTTAACATTGGGATGAATCCATGCCATTTGGAGAATGTCGAATGCCATAAGTTTTGTCTTTTTTTGAAATTTGCTTGCTATGTATGGTTTTCTGTTCCATTATCTGAGATGAAAAGCACTGTCACAAGTTCAAAAGTTGTAAAAGAAGTATAAGAAACATTTTCTTTTTAATCTAAGAACCACCGAAGCATTGTATTATGTATACTGAGTTGGAGAAAGTGCAGAAAATTAAAAGTAAAAAGGAAGAAATAGGCTTCATAGTTAGGCGAAAATGCAGATTATTAAAATTAAAATTACTGTATTATGGCATTATGTATACTGAGTTGGAGAAAGTGCTTTCTAAATTACTATATACTGGGGGGAATGCAATTAGCTGATGGCCATTGCTAGTGTTCTAGACCCAAGGTGTAAATTGCATGTGGTAAATATTTGCTTTCCAATTATATACAAATCAGAATTTGAGGCAACAGAAAATGTTGAAAAAGTGAAGGCAGCTTTAGAAGATTTGTACAATGAGTATTGTGCTATAAGTTTGCAAGATTCAGTCCCAAATAGTGAGCTAGAAACTAGTGTGAACCAATCATCCCTCTCTTCCACTCTTCCACCTCGAGCTCCTCTATCAGGATTTTCTAAAATCATGAGCATTGTGCGCAAAAAGGAAATTATTTCCCCAGTAAAATCAGAGTTAAAAAGTTATCTTAAAGAAGGGGTTTACATATGTGATGAAAAATTTCAGATTTCCTTTAATGCCTTGGACTGGTGGAAGACAAACAGCTTGAAATATAGAATTTTATCAAAGATGGCAAGAGATATACTAGTTGTTCCAATTTCTACAGTAGCATCCGAGTCCACATTTAGTGCTGGTGGAAGAGTAATTGATGCTTATCGTGCTAGTTTAGCCGAAGAGACTGTCGAAGCATTAATTTGTGGAGAAGATTGGTTACGAAATAAATATGATTTGAAGAAAAAAACAAAAAGTATAAATTACTTCTTTAACAACTCATTTGAAAATGTTTATATATTGCAATTCATAATGTAAACATAGTGAAATGCATAACTAATTTGATTTTCTGATTTTTAACTTGCAGGTTCGAAAAGATAGTGAGAATAATCAAGCTGATTACTTTTTATGGGTGAGATGCCTATTTTTTCCTTAAAATTTGGACCATCCTTGTATGCCTCTTCTCTTTATCATTTGTGTTCTGTGTTTTCGGTGTAACTTCATTTTAAGTGGCTCATCCTTGTTCAAAAAGATATTGATATTAGATAATGATATTAAGTGGCTCACTCTAATAACTTGATTTTACAGGACAATGATGTTTCACAGATTCAAAAAGTGAGAAAGTATATCAAAGTAGGAGAAAGATAACAAGGCTCACTTGAAGATTGTGATGTGCCAAGAAAAATTCAATCTTTGTTGTCATGAATTTTTATAATCTGTATTCTTGTTAAAAAAATCTGTTGTAGAATTTTTATAATTTGGACCCATGCTGAAAATATTGTTTAATGAATGAGATATTTTATTTTTATTTAATTTGTAACATGGTAGGCCTAAAAGGCCTCATAGGCCATGTAGGCTTTTTCTTTTTAAATAACAGGGTAGGCTTGACCTTTAAACTAAGTCTTTGATAGGCTCGTAGGCCATATAGGCTGACCATTTTATTATGTAGGCTTAGGCCAAGAAGGCCAAAGCCTTGCCTACCATGGCCTATTTACACCCTTAGGTGCAGCAGCTGCAGAAATCATTTTGCCATATATATATATATATATATATATAACTGAACTCATGGATCATTTCTTAATAAATATTTCTTAAAATATCTTTTAGAGTTTAGACTCTCCATATAAAGAATATGAAGTTTGTACTTCTTTTAAGTGAATCCCATTAAAAAAAAGCAAATAAAAAAATTAAAAACATTGATACGGGCTCAACTCGGCGGGCCAACCCGCCCCACCAGCAAAAAAAGGGGGCGGGGCGAGCTGAGTTTTTCAACCCAGCAAAAAAACGGGGCTGGGCGGGACGGGCTCATTTTTTGGCGAGTTGATGGCGAGCACAGGTGGGCCGAGGCAGGTCAGTATAATATAGGCTCGGGCTGGCGGGCCAACCCGCCCAACCCTCTAAACGAGGCGGGACGGGCTAAGTTTTTCAGCCCACTTTCAATAGCGGGGCGGGACAGACTGGCTCAGTTTTTGGCGGGCTGATGGCGGGGTAGGCCGCCCACTTTGCCACCTCTACGCAAAATGGTATAAATGCAGCATGATCAAACTCTTCTTATATTATACAAGAAGTATAAACCCCAAAGAATTTTTTTTTTTTTTTTCTTTTTTTCAACAAACCACTGCACACTTCATACAAGTTTAAATAGCATTTTGTTTATGAAATTTTTATAAACTAATACATGCTTTAATTGTTTACTTTTTATCAACTATTTTAAATATGAATATAAACATAGGAAATTAGTGCGAAGACATGTTTTGATTGTTGGACTAAAATATGAATATAAACGTCAATAATTAACAAATTTTCAGGATGATAAGAGGTTCCAAGAATGCACCCAACTAAACAATGAACTTGATCTTGGGAACTTCAAAACAAGAAAACTCGAATCACCGCTATAGGTAAAGTCGGATAGCAGTGTTAGTACGATATAGCTGACCAGAATTACACATTACAAGTCTCAAAAAAAAAAAAAGAATTACACATTACAAGAAGCAAAATTGTTTAAAAGAATCAATTATTTGAAATTCCAAAAGTGGAGCCCAGACAAGCAGTGTAACAATATTTACAAGAAACGCACCTACAATGATCATGAACTGATGAAAGAAAAATGAAGACGATGAGCTCCAAAGGTGAAAAAAATAATAATTTTACAATCGTTTGCTATTTACTTCTTTCCTACTATACCTTAAGGTTTGATTGAGATTTTCATGACAGAATTACTGCTGCAACTCAATACCAAGAAAGCCTTCATTTTCTTCTTGTATCATAATTGTACAGAGAAGCCCACTTGAACCCGCTTCTCTATCATAAGCTCTCCCCATTCTCCTCTAATCAGCATCTTTAGGGCAAGCAAACTCAATTAAATAAATTTACATAATATATTAAAGCAAAGGATCATTGTGTAAAACTTCAATGGCAAAGTGTCTGTCCATGAGTCACCCAGTGTACAAAAGTATCAGGAAATTCCTCTAGAACTTTGGACTGTGCATCACGGTCGGATAACTCTGACCCAGTTCGCTCTCTACCCTGAGAATATTACATCATAGGGTTAGTAAGTGAAATATGACATAAAGACCAACAAGGCATTTAGAAAGTTAAACACAAACTATTGGAGGACTAATTTGTAGCGACATCAAACTCGTGCTGATCCTGAATGAATAATAATGCGCATAAAATACGTATCTACTATCAGATCACAGAAAGTAGCAGCACCACTTACTAGTCCAAGAACACAGCCTAAACCGTTTTACTTTTTCTCTACAAAAACACAGCTTAAAAAACATGCTACAAAACTATAGAAAAGGCATCAAGGGAATTACATATTAAGGACTGAAACTTCACTATAGCGAAAATACAGTCTAGCTCCTTGATTTCAGAGGAAGCCCTATGAACACACTAACAAAAAGTAGCAGAAAAAAAGAATACACAAATGATTGAGATAACCCAAGAGATGAACCTCATAGAAACTGGTTGAAGAATTGTGAATTGGAAATTGAATATTGAATCTTTATTGATAAATATCTACCCTCAGAGAAATGATGATTTTCCTAATGAGTGAGGTAGAAAATTACAATGACTCAATCTCACAACTCTCCTAACCTCCACAGAAATCCTAGTCTCTGGCCTTGCCTCTCTGCTTACTAACTGTCTAACTCCCATAATTTATTCCCTCAACCCTATTTTCAATCCCAATGACCAAACTAACTAATTCTGTTGGGAGTTCCCTAACTACCCATGTTAAACCCCCCCCCCCCCCCCCCCCCCCCCCCTCTCAAAAAAAAAAAAAACAAAACAAAACACACACACGTAACTAATTCTTTGTATCCACCATTATTTCTTCTAACCTACTTCCATAACTAGGGGTTCAACACTTCTCCCAAAAAAGTTTCATCTTGTTCTAAATCATGGACAGTCAAATACCTCCCCCACCAGGGGATCAGGAAGAATTGTTCTTAACTCCCATATCTTACTATCTTTCTTACAATCAAGTGAATGAAGTTATTCATTCATCAGGAAGATCTTCAACAGGTAATATATGATTGACACGCCATCTTCGTTTTCAACCTCATGTCATTCTTAGAATATACAGTCTCTTCAATGTAAAACGGAGTTAGGACACTCAGCATTTTACGGACTTGGGGAGCACATGGCATATCCGTAAATAATGAATTGGTAAAGAATGCAATCCTTCTGCGTACTTCCCCATTTGTTGTTACTAGAATGATAGATTCCCTCACTGTCAAGGGTAGTAAAGATCTTAGCTGTTCCTCCCATTGTGTGGTAACCACAGAAGGGAATAATAACAGCAGGTTTTGCCTCAGTACCAGCAAAAATTTGATGTCCAGTATTCTTACTACTTTGGTTAAGTTCTGCCGATTCACTGATCTCTTTCACCATCATATCAGTAACCACTTCTAACATATCTTGCTGCAAAACCGTCACTGTACCTTGCTTGGATGGATAAGCATCTTTCAAGATTTCAACAAGCTCCGGAAACTTATTACAAAAGGAGTGTAAAAAGCCCATTCGGAAATTTGTAATAGCACATTCTTTGAGATGTTGCACTCGACTTCCTTAATGATGGTGGAAATTATATGTTTTTCAGTTTCTCCTATCACTAGATCATGTAGAACATGTTTTAAAGATTTATAGCATTCCACCACAGCACACTCCATATATCCATCTGCACATGTTCGCTTCCAAAGATCAGAGTTTCTCACTCGAAACTAAGTTGCCATATCCAGTGCAAATAAATTCATTTTATAGTTGGGCAAATTTGGCAACTTCTTCCTGATGAAAACTGCAGATGATTTCATTCCATAGTTGGGCAAATTTGACAGCTTCACCCCTTCTGCTCACAAATCTCAGTGAATTGCTTTGCGAAAGAGAATCTCCCTTTTCGCTTCTCATCAGAAGGAATCATTGCATGTCAAATTTGAGTGTCCATGAAATAAACCGTAAGTACAGGAGCCCAGAGTGCAACAGCTGCACCATAGTTAATGTCACGCAATGTGTGAAACCTCTAAGTAGTCCCTCTAATTGAGGACCTGGACAATGGCGTCATTTGTTGTAGCTCAAAGCTCACAAGCATCCGGATGCCATACCTTTCTGACATGTTCGCTGCATGCGTTCCTCGCTGCAGTTTTCGCTCGTAGAGCCATTGCGAAGACCCTGCTCCTTCTTCCGAAGGCTTGAGTCTAATGGCTCGGGAATAATGATAGCTTGGCAACTTAGCCAACGGCGAAGGTGTCACTAGCACCTGCATAACCTTCGCAAGAGCCTCCTTTTTGGGTTTGGGTCATTCATCAATGACTCTTCTTCTCCTTTGAGTTGTTCTCTTCTCCTTGTTTTCAATCCCATCTTTATCCAACTCTGCTTCTTCTCTCGTATCGACAAAATATTTCCGGTAAACAAAGGAATCTCCCATTTCCACCCTCATTCTTCTCTCCTTTGTTTTTGCAGTTTTGTCTATCACACGGCTATAAGAGGAATTTGTTGCTGTCCCCCACTAGGCCTTAAAGAACATTCTCCATCAATAAGAAGCAAGATTCTTGGTCCTTTTCTCCTTCGTGCAACTCTTTGTTGTGTTCTGCTCACTGTTGAGCAGTATCCATTTCACGAATCATCCAAATCTTCTCTCCAATGACTCTAGCAGTGCGTTCTCCATAAATTTCATGTATCGTTCAAACCTTCTATTCACTGAATCCTGCTCCATCCACATACAAACCATGAACGAACTCCCTAGATTCAAGAGCTCTGATACCAGCTGATAGAAACTGGCTCAAACATTGGGAATTGGAATTAAGAATCGAATATTGAATCTTTATTGATAAATTGGGAATTGGAATTGGGAATCGAATATTGAATCATTATTGATAAATTCCTCCCCTCAGAACAAATGAGAATCCTGATGAGTGAGATAGAAAATTACTATGACTCTCTTACAACTCTCCTAACCTCTAGAGAAATCCTAGTCTTTGGCCTTGCCTCTCTACTTACAATCTGTCTAACTCCTCTACATGTATTCCCTCAACCTTATTTATAATCCCAATGACTTAACTAACTAACTAACTATGCTGTTATTTCCCTAACTACGCCTATTTGGGAATTAACTAGGCCTAGCTAATAGAAGCTGGCCTACATTGTGCTTTGGGTCCACCATTAATTCTTCTAACCTAATTTCCTAAGTAGGGGGTTCCTAACAGAAATGACCTATTTCTTCCTCTCCTTGTCCCAACCTTGATAATCATGAAGGCCCACCTCGCCCTCTCTCTCCTCCTTTCGCCTTTACTAGCCATGTCCCCCGTGTTGCCTGATACAAAAATTTCCCTCACCCGTGGCATAATGGCAGCTGTCCCACCCATTAACAGACTCCTATTTTGTCAGTTTCTTTACCAGCAGTCCTTCTCCCATTTGGCCCATTTTCATTCGGCACACTATTCCTCTTTCTCCTAGAATAAACATGTGATATGGGCCTTTCTGTTGACCAGTATGGATAATTAGAGGATTCAAGATATTACATCAAAGGTCCAATAAATTTATGGGTAAAACAAATATTAAACGTGATATTATACTGTGTTATGAAGCACAAACACTGACACAGGCTCGCAACACTACAAGGACAGACACGAGAACACCCCAAAATCTAAAAGTTGTAAAAAAAAGACATGGCACATACAAAATACAATATATATATATATATATATATATATATATATATATATATATATATACACACGTTATGCATGTATGTATAGTTTTCTATAATAGATATAATTTTAAAGATTTACAATATCTTAATTTGCCAACACCTAGTATTTTGTTAGCCCCACCCAAAAAACATGAAGTAAGTTTTCTATTCGCATTTTTCAAGAAAAACTTCCTAAACAAATTTTGGTATAGTAGAACTAGCTGTTAGAAATATTAGATATGATTAGATTAGATTTGATTAGATTTGAATAGATTACTTCCTATCTGTAAATATTATGGGCTTCTCACTTAAGCCCATTAAAGTCTCTATATATTATAGCTCTTTGTATTAGATTAATACACAATTGAATACAATATACCTTCTTACTTTTAAGTTGGTACCAGAGCTAATATTCTGGGAAACCTCGCTTCCGCATAAAACCCTATCTCGCCGTGCATCATACCGGCAACCCTTTTTTAGCCCTAACCCTTAATTAGTCACTGTTAGAAATAATATTAATTTGTTATAGTCTAGAATAGTCTAGATTGTGGGCTTGGCCCATTAGGTCATCCCATTAGGTCATTTAGTCTCTATAAATAGAGAGCCTCCTTGTACAGACATATATACTTGAATATACAATATATTTCAGATTCAATTTGGTATCAGAGCTCTCGATCTGAGGGCTCTGCTTCCGCATATATATCTTTTCCTTCTTTTTGCTGCCGTGCATCATACCGGCAAACCTTTTTACCGCCGTGCATTATACCGGCAACCTTTTTCAACCCTCCGAACATTGTTAGACCCTTTTTCTATCTCAGATCGTCATCTTCCTTCATTATTTGACCGGAAAACACTATTCACATCGCAAGAAACACTGTTCCGTCACTGTTCATCACTGTTCCGGCCACCTTTCCGGCGAGAAACCACGCGATCAGGATCCCCTCACGCCGGCGACCATTTCTGTCCAAGACCCGTCCCAAACGGCCGCCGCACGCGCCTCCACGCGCCACCACAGCCGTCTGCGCGTGGGCTTCACGCGCCACCTCTCTCCGGCGCGTGTGCACTGTTCCGGCCACCTTTTCCGGCCAAACCAAGGCAGACAGGCTCGCCTCTGCCTCCTCCTTCCAGATCCAGTGCCCGATCGTTGTGGGTCTCTTCCGTTCGAGGGTTTCCAGTGCAAAAGTCACTACTTTGTTCCTTTTTCGCGTGATTTTTACAGTTTTTTGGTTGTCTGATCGCTGTTCCTGATGGAAGGAACCAGTAAACATTCTTCCGGCATCATTTCAACTGCTATTCCATCTATCACAACTCTGAAATTGACCGGATCTGCCACTCA